AAATAAAGAAGGAAAACCCATGGCTTGTTATCACCTCCCATTATTTATAAATAATGACAGGTGATCACAATTATTTTTCTTCTAATAATAAAAACTACCTTGTTATCTAAGAATATCGCCATGGGACCGCACTCCGCTATATCTTTCAAAAAATGTATTGGACTCATTTGCCACAAGAAACATTAGGGTCGTAGAAACAAAGTTAAAAAGTTCAGGAAAGCTACAGGAATTCCGCAATTCATTTCCTTTCCGTGTCGGTTACGTGGAATAAAATAAAATTTTACGAACACCGTTTAGCAACAATTAAATGCATATCACAACTGGTTTCAAGATATACAATCCTGCGTTGAAAGAAAGAAACGGCGAAGCACACGAGGCACTATGGTTTTCAAATTTTCGCCTAAGCTTTCTTTTTGTTAGACTGTCAGCCAGCCTCCGGCGTTGTTTCACGCACCCGCTTCTTTTTCTTTTTAATTTGCTTTACCTGGAAAACGAGAAGTAAAGTGACCCTTATTTGGGCTAACCGTTAGCACGAATAGCTAGAAAATATTTTGAAACTTGAAATTATAAAAGCAAGCACATCAAAAGAAGTTGAAATAATTTAACCTGAACTTATTAATGTTGCGCCGGTTGCTGTGACTTGTGTTGGGTATCAAAAATAAATACTTTTATGGATGAATTGAAGAGATGAACTGGTATAAGTATATTAACAAACAGCACACATTCTTGTGATCCTTAATGTAATATAAGTTATTGATCCCCTCCTGTTCAGGTGTGATCAATAAAAACTCCCACTAAAGGTAGTGATCATCTTAAGCCGGTGTTTTTCATGAATACATGAGAGCCTGACGCAACTGTGCTGGAGTCAAGATGAGAACTTACATTTTCGATAAAACCAACTATACTCTGCATCTTCGTATGTGATTAGAGTAATTTAGGAATGGACAAAACAATAAGTGATCTTAGATTTCTTTAAGTTTCAATTCTGGTCGCTTCGAAGTTTTGCTATGGTCACAGGGTAGGTGATTTAACTTCAAATTTCATGGTTTTTACATCATCAACGCGGGACTTCTGAATCTGAACGCTGTTAATATCTCGAGTTCCATGCATTACCCTAATAATCTAGGGAAAATTGACGGTTTCACGCTATGTTCAGGAAGAAAAATATTTTGTACTTTGCGGTAAATATATTACGCAACCCAAGTGTCGAAAAGTCGCTTTGTTACGTTTACTTACGACTGATATGACTGATATGACACTCTTAGTCTTGCAAATGCGCTGAGGCAACCGTAGCAAGCACCGCACCTCAATTTATATGTAAAGCCGAGGGAAAAAATAAGAGATCAAAAAGATATGTTGATAATCTGCTCCGAATTCCAAGATACCGCCCAAGATACTAAAGATCCCAACCGTATGTCAGCTTTTGTGTGCGCACATAAAACTCCCCTTCACAAGAAACATACATCTTGGCACGAAACTCCGGAAAAATTGAACTTAGTTTTATCACTTTAGAACAAAAAAAAAAAAGCTGATATCTTTGGTTCAGCCAAACATAATGAAACGCCGTTACGAGCAAGAGGCGAAAGCCAGAGATGTTTGTTACCTCCCTCTATCAAATCGAACACTCGACGAACGAGCGATACGATGCAGCTCGGGCGCCTGGCGTGAAAACGATTCTTGTTAAAAAAGACCAAACAACAACAAAAGGAACCATCAAAGTAAAGCGAAGCCAACATGTCCTACCAGGGACCACGGAGGGGCAATACGCCCGGGATGCTCAGGGCGTCAAAACGCGATGCGCTTCCCCCTACCATAACACTTTCGCCTCGCCACTGTTGAACTCGCCGAGAAGTCTCTCGTGGCTTCATTAAGGCAGGAACGACCTTTCCCTTCTTCTTATCTTTGTAGGATGGTAGACCGCAAGTGCGGTCGGAATATCAAATGACAACGAGTGCGGAAGGTTGAAAGGGGAAAGAAGAGGTCCCCGAAGAAAGGGGAGTTCGCGCAAAACGAAACACAAAAGATTGTATTCGAAAGAGTCCTGCCCTCCTGGGTGGATCCAGATCCCCTCAATCGATAGTGGATGAAACCTTAATCAATAAAGACCTGAATCCGCCGGGGTATAAAAGGTCCGTGAGGGGGTAGCTGTGTCACTGTGTGCTCTTCCATTCACAAGCAACCCGTTTTCCGCTTAGGAAACGTCCAAAAACGTCTTGACCTTCTCGTCGTTGGTCGTAGTACGCCGTCACAACCGTCAACAATGCTCGGAAAGGTGAGTCTAGCCCCCTGCCCGACCGGATACTCCCGGAGCGCCTGCCCGTCCGTCCTGTCCGTTGGATTATCCTACGCGGAAACTTCGCCGTGGCTCTTCCTGCAAACACACGCTTCGACCAGCGTCGTCTGGAACGGGCCTGGCTTTCGTGTTTCGCCGTGGTCGTCGTCTGCGCGGCCGGAAGCTAGATGCTCCATGGTTTTTGTTTAATTTGAGCATACTTATTTTTTATTCATTTTTGCGGCATTCTATTTTTCCTTGAGTTAGGGATTTGACATCTCCTATGAAGTCAGTTCTTACACGTTACTTTAAGAAAGCCGTACAAAAAATATAGGTAGCCAGAAGAAGGCTAAAACAACAAGCATGCCTGTAGATTTAGGTACAGGTGTAAAAATAGTTCTGCTCACAAACTGTAACTTACAGGCTGTTAAATTGTCTAATATCGATTTTCAAATCAAACATAATAAAGAAAAAAATCGGAATGACGAAATATCACGAAATAACTTAAGAAGTTTAAAAAATCAAAACCTAAAAAAAAAAAAATCCGCTGGGTGTGTTACGTTGAAATGAGTTCGCCGTGTAAGTTATAAGTGTCATCACATCTTAATTATTCAACTTCAGACAAATGAATAGCGAAGTTTTAAAATTTATTTTGTTTGTTTAATTCCGTTACAAGGGGCAAGATACTTCATGACTGTAGTGTAAAAAAAAACCTTTCAAACAAGTTTACTGTTTTTCGCTTTTTTATTTCTGTCATGCCTTTTTTTAATGATGCAAGGAGGCAACGGATATTAAGTGCATGATCAATAATCACTTCAAGCTTCATACACATTCAGTTAGTAAATGTAGCAGTAAGATCCTTCTTTGCCGCGTTCATTTCTCTTATAATCAATATTTCTGAACCAAATGCGTTTATGTAAACGATAGTTTCATCTTAATTGCTTCGATGTCTTCCTTCAATAGCTATGAGATTCTTTTTAATTAAACTCCTGCTATTACGTCGTCATGTAGTACAAACGAATGGCAGCGCATGTGAATATTAATTTGAGAACCGACCTGCATATAAGCCAGAATCGATGTGAGGAGAGGTTTATCAGGTATCCTAAAATGTTTTTATTGCTGTGCACACGACTATACTTCAGTATAGAATGACAGTGACAATGTTAAAGTGTTAGAAAATGACCAACGACCGGTCTACGAGCTGTGCCCATGAATAACCTTCGCCGTTATTTTTAGTTCACAAAAAATAATTTACAGAGGCGTTGTAGCTCACAAGATTCATAGGACGCCTCTTTAGAAGTGGAATTTATTCTAGACTACTAAACAAACTTTAGGTGAAAACAGAAACCGATAGCGAAAAGCCAGAATTTTGACGAAGAAAATTAATACTCTCAAATAGAAACTGAACGATACCAGAGTGAATACTGTAGCAGAAGTGAAAGATTATAGTACCACCACACCATTCGTCGGGTAAGTCAAAACCAGTGGTGTGTAAAACGCACGTTTAAGGAATGAAAATTTTAGGATAGTTATCAAATAACAACCATTGTTTTTCCATTTCTCTCATCATACAGCTCGTCTTCCTTGCCGTCGTCGCGGCCGCCCTCTCACAGGTGGTGGTCTACCCTGGCGAGGGCGTAAGTACCCCCACATTGTTTCACTTCCGAACGTAACACGGCAGCACTTTAGATGCTCGCGCACATTAACGAGAGAAGAATAACGAGCTATCTACTTTAGAAACACTAACCGCAACCGGCGCCGAAGATACTATCGCATCGAGGATCACCAAGTCAACGGCTTCTGCGATCGAGAAGCCTGTTACACCGTTCCACATTTCACTTATCGGTAACGGTTACGACGTGGAGGTGTATACGCAGGGAGTGTGCTCAGTCGCGCGCCGTTGTAAACCTGAACGATCGTTAGGCATTGCGGAAGTATTGACTAATCTTACCGAGAGAAACTGCGAACGGCAGGGACAAAACGAGGATGCAGGCCCTTAAACTAAATGGTCGTTAAAAAACAAGTATATCTAGAATATTTTACCAACAACGCGGAAGACGTGACCTGATGGTGGTATTGTACACTAGATGACAAAGTCATAAAAAAACTCTTAGGCGACCAATAGCATCGTAAATTCGAGAACAGGCATCAAACTAAAATTATATTTCGAAATGTGCTTTAGCGTGTTATTACATGCGAATCAATTAGTTATTTGAAGCTGCTACTATAAGGAACTTTAGTAAAAAATGTGATCTTGTTCATTTGACTAGGTAAAAAACCAAATTCGTTCCAGCGAGCATGCACCATTTAGTTGGTAAAATAATTTGTAGTTTAGGTAATGCGTTGTCATTCATTTACACCGTCTTTAACAGAATCTTGTTTTTGTTTTTTTTTCTAATGCAAGCTACTGCGAGTCAAGCTACGCTTAAAAGCCAAGCTTCAGGTGCATTTTTTGAAGAATGATAATCTTGATGTCGCAAAACGCTAAAGTAAAAGTGAAAATACTATAAACCTTTTAGCCGTAAGCACGTAAAAGATTGGGGTCTTTCAAGATTCAAAGCAGTCGCGCAACTAACGTGGATCTGAACTCGTCGGTCGCACCCTTCCCGTAATTGATGTATTTTGGGTATTTATGTTTTAAACGTATTTTATTTTTGAGTGTATGCGTATAATTATCATTATTATTATTATTATTACTATTTAAACTTATTCATTTATTTAACCGCAGCCACCCCAGCCCTACCACTTCAGCTACGATGCCGTGAACCCAGTGGAGGGTGGTCACCACTACCACGAGGAGACCAGCGACGCCACCAACTCGCGTACGGGCTCCTACGGCTACACCGACGCCTTCGGTATTCAGCGTCGTGTCGACTATGTCGCCGACGCCGGAGGCTACCGTGCCACCGTGACCACCAACGAGCCAGGAACCGCCGCCAGCGCTCCAGCCGACGCGGTCTACAACTCCCCCTACTCCCACTAGAAACCGCCAAGACAACGTCGCAAGGCAGACTACCGAGAGCTTACTAGAACCCTGAGTTCAAGGGCCACGGGAAAAACTACGCATAAATCGGGCCGAGTCCCCCCTAGGAAATGCAGGCTTGCAACTTTGGCTGAGGGACACAACGTTGGGCCGCGATTGGTTCGGAGACGTTGTCACGTGACGTGACGTCATCTCCTGAACTCCGGCCATCGAGACGTGTGCCGTGCCTTTTGGTACCCGGGAAGCAGTAGAATCGCGGGGCTGTCGAGTGTGTTGTAGAATATGGCGGCTGGGTAGGGATGAAGAGAAAAGATACGTGCGGTTAGTCTGTTTGTTATAGTTGTCTGAAAAAGTATTGTCGCCCGAGAAAACTAATAGAAACCCACCCGTGTGTGTGTCGCTCTATTTATTCGTCATCTGTTGTGTTGTCACGACTTCCCCTTCCTACAAGATTGTACATGATTTGTCATGTCCCGTGTCTTATGTAGTTTCATGTTAGGTTGTTCCGCTGTCAGTAGTTTGTTTAAAACACTGACTTCTTTTTCTGCATATCGCGCCTGCATTTCTTTTGCCCTAACTCATATCTCCAGCATTATAACCCATGGCCTCTGTCGAAGAAGCACAATTCTTCCAAGTGACTGATAACTTAAACAAAAAGCTTAATACCATCCACTGCTTGCACTACTTTCCGCCTATGTCCCGACGCTTAACACTTACTTTCAGCGCTTTTTGTTATTGAGATCGGTCTCTCAAAAATATTTCTAAAAGCATGGGCCCGCTTACCTTCTTGACTATAGTCCAGTATTTCGAGCAAGTAGTAAAGACAGTGTGCAAAATTCTGAGTCACTTACAGTTTCACCACGCTGGGTAGCATTTCTAAAATCTTTCTGGTTTCTTCCTTCAACAGTGACCTCATTGCTTTATTCGTGAAGCATCCATAGTCTAATCCATAGATGCTATCGGAAAACGTACACTCTTTCTTGTCTGTTTCTATTTCTTTCATAGGCCGCTTCTTCTCAAACGGTTTCCACTGTCTTCTGTTGTGTTTACCTGTGTTCTCAATCAATAAAGCCGCGCAACGAAACATTCCTGAATCTCGACCTTCCACTTCCTCGGTCTTTCTGATTTCAAAATCAGATCACCCTATGGCTCGTTGAAAAAATTGTTGTTGTTGTTGTTTTTTTGTTGTTTTTTAGAATTCAAGCCGCGAAAGCTTCGATTTCCATACATTCCCATTTTTCAGATCACGCAGGCGAGATGCTAAAGATATCCTTGCCTCATTTGAAATGTAAACGTTGGCAACACGTTGTGTGAAACAACTACAACATCATCGCGAAAATCTTTAGCTTGACGCAGTATCCTTCACGTTCTTAAAAGGCTATGCGGAAACACCTTCGCACGAATTCTCCTGGGGTATCGAGTACTCTATGAGATACAGCCAACATGCGCTGACTTCAGATAAAAAAGAGATCGCCAATATTATAAAAATACTCTAAATTTTAATTTTGATCACTTTTTCAATGATGCAGTGGAATAAGAAATCATGTCATCGATGGCTAACTAGCCAGGCATAAATAACTTTAAGATGTTCAAATAAAATGCGACCACCCTTGTAACTCACTTTTTCCTCGTTATAATTTGCCTTCTCGTCATAAAACGTACGAGAGCGAAAATTCTAACCATTCCTCCTGAAACCTCTCATCTGCCGCTCAACCGTTCTGCGGTATGTAACATCACAAGGCGACTCTGTTTCAGATTTGTACGTAGTTCAACTACTCTACTCAAGCTACTGTAGGTTAATTACTTTTCTGAGTAGTTTAGTAACTTTCAATTATATTTTTATTTTGGTAATTATTAGTTTACTTTAATTACCTTTTCCCAGTAACTTTTACTCTAATTACAAATTACTTTGATATTTTAGTGGTAGGTTTCCTTATCAACGACAAATTCCTGCACAAAAATAGATAATATGTTGAAGGATCAGCTGATATTTGTAAAGGAGGGGAAGCATGTGCCGTAGGCAGGGGACGGGAGGGGGGTGGGGGGAACAGTGGTTTGGGCGGTCCGAAACCTCCTACAATTTTCACGAGTCCTCCACTGCAACAACTCTGCTAGAGCGGACATACACGTCGCGAGTGACGCCAAGTGAGGGACTAGCGCCGAAGACTGGCGTTTTTTTTTTTGTGTGTGTGTGTGTGTCGCGGAGCTTAAAAAGCTCCTGAAAAGAAACAATAATGCTTTTTTAACAGTCTGGTTGAGACATGCGTGTCAAAAAAAGAAAAAAGAAATTTACGCAAAAAAAGAAAAACTAGAATTTTCGAGCAATATTGACGGCGAGAGGCGCGATTTAGTCCGCAATCACCTCCTTTCCACATGTTTTCTCTCTCGGCATTTCGGGCGCGTGGAGGAGAGGTGGATTGGCTTCGCCTTCACGACCGAGATGGTCATTCCGGAATGACCCGTGACGTCAAGGACTTCGCGCGCAGGGTTTCAACAAAATCCATCATCGTCATTATTGCCCTAAAAATGCTTTTTTTCGCGTAAAATTTACTTTTTAGCACGCGTGTCCCACCCAGACTGTTTAAAAAAGTCAGATTTTTGTTTCTTTTCAGGGCTCTTTAAGGAGTCTTGAGGCACTTGAAGGAAGGGTTCTCCTCGGTTTTACCCAACGTCGGAACTCTTGCCCACTACAGGAGGTGTACACACGGCATCCTCACTCAAAGGAGGCAACAGGATGCAGCATCTGCTCTGAAGCTCATCTGGTGCTCCCGTAGTTTGCGCTGTATTCGAAGAATCGCGTGCAAAAAGCGAACGTAAAGGTGACCTCTTTACATTGCTTTTCCTCCCAAAGCTCAGAATATGCAGGTCTTCCAAGATTCGAAGATTGTTCTAGATACCCTAGGCGTAGTACGACGCCAGACGAATCTGTACCTTAGTAAATCCCCAATCGTTTTTACATAATATATATATATATATATGTATATATACATATTTATTTATTTATTTATTTATTTATTTATGAGTAAAATCAGCTCCATACAGGGAGCTATTGCAGAAGTGGTTACAAAATACAAAACAGCAAAAAGCAGGGACGCACCAAAACGAGAATTGGCTAAAGTACAATTGAATAGCGTCTACAACGTGTTCGCAGGTCGGCAAAGTCACAATACCATTAGTTATTCCACTCTTAAATTGCCCTAGGGGAGAAATAAAATAGAAAGCTGTAATTTTTAAACCTTTATTTTGGTAATAATTGGCAATGATTTAATCCTGAGTACCTTGACTGTAGAGGTTTCAGGTAATTTGGGCTATCTATATGAAGGGAGTCGTTTATTACTTTGTAAAGATTTTTGAATCTGTCAATTATTGCTTTTTTTGTACTGTCGGATGCTGGGCTTTCTTTTTACTAATTCGGTGGATGATGACCTTGTGTTATAAGCATAAACTGAGAAGCCAGCTTTTTAATACACTCTACTTCTTTAATTCAATTCTTAGTAAAAGGACACCAGACTGAACTCTCGCAATTTAGAATAGGTCTAACAAAACTAGTATAGGCCACGAGCTTTGAATTACAATCTGCAATTTTTTTTAAATTTTCTTCTCACTGCAAACGAAGTACCTATGGCTTTATCAACGTAATTCTTCTTGTAAGGGTAGGTTCCAGCTGAGCTTGTTAATAAACATAAGCTATAAATATTTGCATTCGTCTACACGATTTACCCTTAGCTCCTCTCGATGCGTATGACTAAACATCTAGAAACGATATGTGTACATGCTTGAAAAAGCGTCTCTGTAGGCCTCTAGAGAATGTATATTGAAGACGGACTCCTATAAGTGCTCTGTCCCCTACAAGCACTCCATTCAGATATCACGCTGGCTCCATCTTCCTAAGACGTTATATACGCCACTTGCGAGGTTTAAGACATCAGAGAGAGAGAGACAGGCTCAGAAAATGTGTTTTTCGTTTTGTTTTTTTCTCGACTGATGGCCCGGAAAATGTGGCAGCCCTCAATCACAACTGACAAGAGGGAAGTCCAAATGCGCGCGTCGCTCGCTGCATCGCCCGCGTCAGAAGCGCGATAAGAGAGTGCCTGTTGCCGTTTATAAACACATTCGAGATTTCTGACCGACGTCTTCCAGATTAAGAGATGTTCTAAGATGTTCCAGTTTAGATATCCGTGTGTTCTCTTTCTGTCGGGAGCTTTTCCCTGCAATTAGAAAATATAGATGTAATATAGTTGCGCTTCTGGAATGCTACACACGAGGTTTCTGAAAGCGAAAACAACACGCAGGACAACCAAAATTTAATATCGGAGCAAAGTTACAGACGAAGGTCACAGGCACGTTTCCGTAACCGCTTCCAACACTTAAAAATATGTTGTTGTTTTTTTTTGTTTTTTTTTAAAGCTACTTTTGAAGAATATTGTTATCACCGCATTGGTACGTCGATTGTTGAAGAATTATGCAATTATCTTATATTTTATTATTACCTTTGTAGGAACGGCTGTAGTTTCACTTTTGTAGACTCAAATGTCAAGTGTTATTCCAAGCTAATCGATGTCTTCGATACCTCAGAAAGATAAAAAAGGCGATAATAAAAATGCTCGTTCCCTACAGTATATTTTAGATACGAATACATAAAATCATATCACAAATATTGTATTTACTTCTATTTCATTTCACTTACTTCCCCTCGAAGACATATAACAATGCAATACATGAGAAGGAATGTAAAAATGTGGGGGAGATCGCGATGTATACATAAATATATATGTATATATTAGATATATACATGGATATTCGATATTATTATGATCATTCCCTTATAACATCATCCAACTCCATATTCTTTGTTAGAAATTGACTACGTAGAAAGAAACCTTCATTCACGATTAGAACCAAAGAAGCAGTCGTACCTGACCGCAAGGTAGCGAAAGTCTCAAAGCAACCTTGACGAACCTTCATTTCCGAACACACAAAACGCCGAGCCCAAAATCAAA